CAACTGCCGATGAAACCGTCACTGAGAGATCCTGCCTGTGCCACTCGAGATGCATAACTATCTTCCTGTTGCATTCGACTGCTGCACTCGACGAGGGGAAGTTGGAGAAACTGGCATCTCGTACTGCAATGGACAACCCGTGATTTTTCTTTTCGACCAATTCGAACAACGTGCCCTCCACCACTTGGTCTCGAGCACCAATATCGACCCCTAGCCGAGTTACACATACTTTGAATACCTTGGCGCAAGCCATACATCGAGCCTATGGGGATGGGAGGCACTCCGGGTAGAGTCGAGTACGACCCGTTACTTATACCCATGGATCGTCATCAGGATGAACGCACAGCCCGATTTATGTCTAGGCCTCCCCGCTCCAAGCTCCCTGACTTTGCCTTCAGCATTAAACAATGAATTCGGCTTAGTTGACGACGAAGCTAAGGGAACATGATCCAAGGATTATGTTCTCGTCTTGCAAAAGGCCCTATACCCATGGCAATTCTCCAAGTCAAAATGCTCACTGTCTCCATATTGTAAAGCACTAGGATACTAGCACTACGGAGGTCGCCCCTCAACGCCAGAAAGGGGACACTGAGCATAAGGTAGCCATCTGCGAGACATCAAAAGGAGCGTGGCTTGCATACTAGGTCGGCCAATTAAGGTACTTCGGAACTATCTGGCCCCCACGTTGAGCTGGATTCTATGTTAGGAGAAGTCTGGCATTCGTGGTAATAGATCTATGCATGTCTAGAGCTCAGAGATAGACCGGCTTCGTAGATTTCGGGTCTAACTGTGAGCCCATTGTAGCACCGCATATCGATTACTCGACCCAATTGACTAGTCGGTTGTTCTCCTCTCCATTTTCGTAACCTATGCATCCTTACTATCTAAAGGATGGTGGATATCTGCAACCTCGGATTGTAGTCACAGTATGCAGCTGGCTGTACGATGACACAATATCATGATGGTTATGGAACTGCCGTTACACCTCGTCTCAATCTGATGCACATACCCTTATAGTATGGCCAACTACGAAATACATCAGGCCTTATTTTTTATCCCGGCGATGCATCGTGGTTTTCTTCCGGGGTCTGATACCGCGAGAGGATATTAGTCTACCTCCTCATCCAGTTATTTGTAGCCCTATACCACCACCTAGGAGAAATCTCGGTATGATTGATGATGAAAGCCATTGTTCACGGGAAACACTCATTGGCACTACCTGGCCCTGCTAAGCGGGAGAATGCCGTTTTGTAGAACGCTAGTCTCGCTGGCTTAGACTTGCTACAGCTATATGAGTTCTCCATGCTTTTTCTCTGCTGGCTTTGCTCGACGGACGGAATATGACTTACTGCTTATTTTGGACGATGGACACAAATATCAAGCCTACATAGGTACCTAGATAACCGTACGGTACGACCTAGAAGTCTAGCTGAGTTTCTCTGTCACTTATTAGCGATCTAATACGGACATATAAGTGAAGATAGGATGAGGAAGGTAATACGTGATGCGCATTATATTGATCGAGGTTCCCTATGTCGAGGCTTCCGCCGTTGAACAGACTTATCAAACTACTGCGGCCTGGAGCTGAAATAGCATAGAAAAATTCAAGATGAACATCCTGTGAATATATATAACTGTCTAAGCTGTCAATTACGAATGTACATCCCTCAAAGTAACTGAACTCCGTCAAAAGTATCTAAATATTTATAGCTCGAAGATCTCATTCGATTTAAGCTAATCTTGAGAGAGGTAACGTATACCTACCTCTGATCATTACACTTCCAACATTGAACTCGGAAATTTCGCCACTAGTTGCAAGGAGACTGGGGTATCATGCTCGAAAGTGATAACCACACCTTGGAGAAATTCCCAGGAGGCTACAAGGGCGATTCGGCAAAGGGTGGAACACATAATTTCGAATTTGGTGAACAAACTGGCAATATCTCAACGTCCTGATACAGGTATGCTATATTTCTATGTCTTTGCATACAGTTGCTTAAGCGACAGATAGGTTGACGATAGGTATTTATCATTAATCTCGTGGGCGGCGTTGTTGATAGGTAGGTAGGTAGTAAGATGAGGAGTGGAAGTCGAGGAAATTGTGGAATACAGCAGTGGAATACAGCCTAACTTTATACACGATCAAGAGGCTAGCTGATTGGAATTTCCTTGTTTGCCGAAGACTCTCTGGTATTCTGATCGACAAGATATAACATGTCTGACGCCTTTTAGCCACCACCAGAATCACTAGCAAATAATCTATGGCAACTAATAAGGCTCCACACATACACTCTAATCCACCTCATTACATCCACGACCTCACTGTCGGAGGTAGATATGGGCATATTTTAACACACAGGCTGGTTGTAATGGATTAGAGTACCTAAATATGTGTTAGTGGATATACACCTATGGATTAGAGTATGGCATGGCTTGCAGGGGGCACCCATAGTATGTCCCGCACGGACTGACAACTTCTAAGGTTCGCGTTGGGGCGGCAGCCTCTACCCTTGAGAGTATCACCAAGGTACGAATCTACGGGTATATAATCTGGGGAATATCCCCCTATCTCCATTATCAGTACAGGTCACATTTGATTCTTTCCGCAGCAGCAGCTAGATTCTATCCGCCACTCACTCCCAAGTACTGATATACGGAGCGTTATTAACGATGGCATTTACATCAAGTCACCATTCCGGCTTTATGGGCCTCCCTACCGAGCTAAGATACCTCATTTACGACTTCCTTGCAGAAATAGAGGATCTCACACCCTTAATGCATACCTGCCGCCTGCTACGTAACGAGGTCATACGTCGCATACCAGGAGCCGGGTTTGTCAACTATTTGGAATTGGATAACAACCACGATAGAGAGCTTAAAATCAAAATTCGAGACCGAATCGAGACCAAGACAATCGAAATTATTGCTGAGCCGTGGTATTCTTCTGGATCGGCTCTGAAATTCAAAGTTACCTAGAGACCAAGATATACCGACCAGGTAGGCAGAAAGTCAACTCATTGGAGGATATCATACTGGACCATCCGTGACCCATCGTCACCGATGGCGAGATACATACGCCTTTACCGACCCGAATCTATCATCATCGCGTTCGAAGCAGCCACCGAAGGCAGTTTATTGCTTGCTCTCTTGATACTACGGGCAAAACTATTCGATATCTGTTGGATCCTAAAGACCATATGGAGGTTTCACGGACGTATACCGTTCATTGTACGCTTTCTAGGTGGGAAGGACCCAAATCGCCCAAAATTGGCTCGCAAATCGTTTTGGGAGATGCGACCGAAAGTTATGAGTATATTTAGCTAGAGATATTGTGGGCCAAGTCTCTATCTTGAAAAGGACTACAAAGACCGGGATGCGTATCCATTTTTTTACGAGTGTTTGGTCCTCCCGTTATTCTTTTGCACGTGGAGTCCAAGTGACGTCCAGTTTGACCTGGAACCGACCAAACGACGAAGTTCACTTATCCGGAAAAGCGCGGGTTCCTCCCAGCTCGAGTACCTTGGCTATCGGCAACTCCTTAGCCAAGCGTCCTGTCTGAAGTTGTCAGGATGTTTTTTTGGGTATACACTGTATGGATACTCGGACGAGGATGAGGAGGATCAGGATGAGGATGAGGACATTTCATCGGAATTTCTTGAGGTGATGTGTCGCCTGAAGGCACTTATTGAGGACATCCCCGGATTTTTTCAGTGCATTAAGTGTCGAGAGACCGACCAATTACGGTCATACTTACAAAGAGTGAGACAGAGGCCCAGAAACATGTCTTTCGGTGGCCCTGTTCCTGGGAAACAACATGTGGGTAGGAGTTTTGAACGAGACCTCTGGAAATGGGGCGGAGAGGACGCCATTATTAGACGACACTTCATTAATTGGGCTATGGGATACTAAGATGCTATGTTTCTATATACCTAGGTACCTAGGTGCCTGTTTATATAACGGATAGGCCACTTGCTTCCGAGTAGCGTTCGTCTTCCGAAAGCGTCGTGTGTTATGTTAGAGTACGAGATACTATCTTCATTTCTTTTATATTCCTCATTAGGAGGGCATGGTTAAGATTTTATGAGTGATGACTTAATTCCTTACTCTGGCTTTCCACACCCGTGACTCTTCCTTCTCTATCCCATTCTCGGTGAAAACGCCCCTGGAACTGTTTCTCCTATAACATTCTTCCAGGTCATGCTACAATATACCTTTCGTATTTAATCCGTACTTGATCGTTATCATAATCGGCTCCAGCTATCATCCAAGGGTCGCTCTGCTAGTATAATACCTTGCTATACGGAAGATTTTCCGACGGAGCCGTTTCGAGTCCTGGTATTGTCGTTAGTTCGGTCTTAACACTTGACCCTTCAGCCGCCCCCTAGCCAGACAAGAGGAGAGCCCATCTACCCTAGCGAGTCGGGCGTAACGAGACAATAAACATTATCCTTGATTTTTGCTAAAACAAGGGCGAGAGTTAGCATGTAGCATACGAGCATACCGGTAGGTAGGTAGCTTTAATAACGGACTATTATAATTAAAATGGTTATTATACGCCATAATTTCCGAAAGGTAATTGACGAAATATTTTTCTATAGTTGTCGGTGGACAAGGTCTAGTCCAGTATTACAATTAAGTAATCCATACTAGAGTCGTATACTTCGAAGCAGCAAGAGGGCCGAGGACTCTATGATGCTTGTTGACGATGTTGATTGTCTATTGAAGAGATTGGCCACGGCTCCCTCGAAGCGAGGGAGCCGATATATACATGTACGGATCGGCTGATCTCTATTCCGACAATAGTCGACTCGTTCTAATAAGGAAAGTTAAGCTTTAATCGTATGGTGGTATTCAAGAGAAAATAATAGGTCGGCGAGGACAGGGTAATTGTAGATTGAAAAAAAACAGTTGTAGACATGTGCATTGCACATCCTAGACAAACAGTACCATTTAGTTTGTTGTAACGGCAAAGGTTCTAACACAAATCAAAGGCCCGTTTGGCCCGACTAGCTCACCGGTAGAGCGCCTCACTAGTAAATATTCTTACATGGAATAATTATACCTTGCGATGAGGAGGCAACAGGTTTGACTCCTGTGTTGGGCATTTTTTGCTGTTCACAGTAGCATACCAACCATTATGGCTGTCAACTCAATTTTTTCTCATTCTCTATTTCTAATATACTCCCGTGTCATGGATTTATTCTGGAATCTATCAAGTTGTAAGAATAAGAGAATGAAGAATAATGTACAACTGAATAAACATGGCTTTATTTTTCTCCTCGAGGGAGATGGATGTAAATGTGGATGTTACAATGAGCCTCGCTCTAGGAATACTCGATTGTGCACATTTTGACGCTGACACGATACTCTATCCACACCTGATAGAAAAGCACGAGGCAAATTAAAAGCAGCCCGTGTGTCTTAGGACTATCTATTAGCCAATCAGTACCGTAGACACTGTGTGTGATTCTACCCATTCCCTAGCTAGGGCAACCAAAGGATGAGTACTTATATTATAAGAGACTTACTACATTCATCAAATCATGGGCAAGATGGCCGAGTTGGTTATGGCGTGAGGTTAAGGTCACCTTAGCATCTAATTCCTCATGGAGCAATCCGCGTGGGTTCGAATCCCACTCTTGTCATTGTTTTTTCCCCTTTCTGTTATTATTGGAGGTAACTATCTATTTTTTTCTCTTTCGTTCATTCAAAAGTGGATCCTAGGTTAGGGTTGCAGAAAATCAGGACATTATTACGTAAATTTACCTGGGCTATAGTATATATGATTGTTGACGAGCCCTCGATGCAGGCCGACCCCTTGCAGCGAACTTTTGGCTTTTACACTGGAGCTTTTCGTGAATTAAATATTGAATGGTTAAATAGGCATCTAGGCATGTCGGAATATAATTCACGTACTATATTCTTAAATAAGCCGTAAACAAGAGTAACCCAGGCATCTGTCAAGTATTGAGCAGGAGTAGCTCGGTGTCTTCAGCTGCCTGTGTCCCAACCGTCAGCGGACGAAGAGCAACCACGTAATAGAAAAAGCCAGATATCTCCTTTACTCGAACGCTGGCTTTGAGCTGACAACCGCCCACCTTTTTCAGATGAACCGATTCCCATGCCTCATCCTCGAATGGCTTCGCCTTGTTGTTATATTTGTCCATGAAGTCTTCAGCAGCTCGAATGTCTATTCGTTTTTCAAGTAGACGACACCACGGCTTAGGGTGAGGCTCTCGCCGTGAATTTGACTGGCGGCCGACCAGCAAGGTTATTAAGACCGGTAGACCCTCTAATATGGTCCCTAGGTCACTCATGTTGATCTCGAAGATACCCTCGATACGACAGAACCATCCTTCCCCAAGACATTTCCGGGGGATCGGTGCAACCCGCAGCTGCATCAAGGACGCATCCCACCTCTCCTGGGGATAAACATCGTCGATGCTGATTCCTATGTTGGATCTAGTCCCTAGAGCGCCGTATGTGAGGAGCCAAAAGGGTGTATCGTCAGAAGGGTATTCGCCGCGCAAGAGCGACAGCGACCACGGAATGCGTACCGAGTCGTCTCCCGAATTTTCTATTTTTGGGAGTTTTCTAGTGATAGTTACTAACTCGACCTTCCAGCTCCAATTGTATTTGTCTATTCAATCAGTAGGTATTTGGTAGAACTGAATGGAAGTTGTTTCATACCTACGGAGTTTCTGTAGGCTTCCTTATGGAGCTGAGTGGGATCAAAACCAATGACCTCGACGTCGGTAACAAAGGCAAGGTTGTCGTGATATTGAACTTTTGTCATTTCCTCTCCAGTCATGACCCGGTAGTAATGTTTGCGGCCATCGTCTCTTTTACTTTCAACGCACCTAAGCCTGATGGTCGGGAATGTGCCCGGGGCGCTTCCTAATTGGCAGTCCAAGATTGCTTCAACCTCGGTAAAAGGTTCGGATTCCATGTTGACCGGAGCAGGGAGCGACATGATGGGAAATTCTATGGCAATACCCTGGTTTGTGATAGATGTGGCCTTTCGACCTACTCTATGGAATGGTTGTGGGGAGACAGTTCCTGATTCAGCGAAGTCGGAGGGGCTCTGAGCTAAGACATCGACCGGAGTGCCTTCAGAGAAGCCCTTGTTGTGCCAAGCAAAGATAGACTGATCATCGGTTGTTTTGAGGATCTCTTCCTGGAGTCTGCGAAACGCTTTGAGTCCTTCACCATATATCATGGGCATATTGACGTCAAACAAACCCAATAACGAATACGCAAGGTCTTCCACTCTGGTGGTTTGTCGCTTCGACGCCCAGTACATGCGTCGGGCAATGCTGATATCCGCCGGATCTTGTCCACGGAGCGTATGCTGATCTATCCCCGTTACCTTTGAGACCAGCGAGCAAAGAAAATCTTCATGCTTGTTTCCAATCTCTTCCCACCGGGTCGAGTAGAATACAACAGTATCGGGCGCAATTAGCTCTTGTAACGTCCATCCCCTCGTAAACCACCTGCTGTGACGAAATTCGTATTCATCCGTTTGGGGCATGTCCTGGACGTCGCTCAAAAAGGCATAGCAGACCTCTGCGTCCTTGTACCAGCGGAACATCGAATTAATAGCCTCCGTAAGCTCAGCGCTGCTCGACTTATCGATGCAGCACGTATCAATCCAGATATATGTGTAGCCATGACTCTTCGCAAGCGAGGCCGCCCGTCGGATTTTCTTAAAACCATGCTTCTTCTTGGCTTCAGAGATATCTGCCATGTCCTGGAATTCCACCTCCTCCTGCTCCCATGTATGGGATAGGATGGCGTACTCCGGGACCTCGCTTTCCACAAAGACTTCAAACTCGAGGCTCTGAGTGTGGAGGAGCCGCATTGTGTCCCTGTAATATGGCAAGACGAATGTAACCTCGGCAAAGAAACCTCGAGCCGTGAGCGATTAAGGGTCCGTGATAGGTTGTCATCACCATGCTATTGTCCCTGAAATAGGCAAATACTAAGTTACATGGGAAGGTCGGGAGATAAGTAGACAGTTACTAGGCCGCATGGCGATGCCGGACCTAGGATGCGGAGCTATGCTCGTTCAGGGAGATGGAAGTCAGCGCGAAGAGAAAAAGGAAACGTCACGTGATCCGTCTATTGCAGTCTAAGGCCGATCACGATGATTGAACACAATTACGTACATGATTAATACTTCCCTCGAGAGTTCAACGTAATGAACATTCTCGGAGTTTGTTGGCAATCCCCAAGGGGTCCTAACCATTAGGTAGACTCTCCGGACAATGACTCAACCTCTGAGTCTCTGAATGTTCGGTTGACAATTTATCTACCCCTGAATTTACGTCCTGAAGCACCTATGGTAGTTAATGTTTCATTCAGGGCTCGCTTGAAACGCCACATATAACTCCCTATGTGTGTCTGTTAACATGAGAAACCGGTCCCCAGGGAATATACGGCGTGGACGGCCACATTAAGTATTTGTAGAAAATCAGTAGATGTTTGAGACTAGAGTTTACATGGAATTGCCATGTACATATCGAACTGCTTTAGCTGTTTTCATCGTTGTCACATGAGTTTAGTTGTGCTATTGTCATATCAAGTGCCAAGTGCCATTCTTGTACTGTAGAGTTGGTGACTCCTTGCCTAAATAGGATCCTACGTATAACTTGCTGTATGTTCTGTGCAGCGTAGAACCTGTGATCTTCGGGAAATTGCAATACGCCAGGTAACCATGACCCTGGACCGATTTTCCAGTACCAAATTATTTCTATGGTACAAGAAAAATTAGCATTGACTAAGACAGGAGAATATACTCGAGCTATTTAAAGATGCTTCTTACAAAACTCCGTGGGGTGAGGCTTGTCCTCTCTCCTAAAGAGCTGCAATTATACGCACTTGCCTTCGCAATATACTAGGTTGGGGACGTGAACTCCCTATCCTGATTCCAATTGTTAGTATATCAGAAACCATGGTCGCTTGGACAGATTATGCTCACCTAGGTTCTCAGAATGTGCGACAGCGACATCATGGGATCATCGAAGGCTCCGGGTGGCAAGTCAATCCTTCGTCTGGATTCACTGGGGTTCGTTCCAAAACTTGGGCCCGTCGTAACGGTACTCACGAAAGTCGGGTGGCCACACATAAGTTACCTGGGATAGTGTTGCGGGCTCTGGGCCTTCCATCGTGAGATCCACTGGGGTCTTCACCAGCCTTAAAGCTTTGCGCGCTACTCTCTTCCTGTCTAGCTTGAAAACTTCAACGTTGCGTTCGATGAGCAAGCTGGCGAGGCGGTCTCTCATGAATGCCGCCCATGCACTCCGATATCTGCCGCCGAACTCGAGAGTCTTAAGCTTCTTGATGCTAAGGATGAGCGGAACGAGGGCCTCGATGCGATCAGAGCTAAGGAAAATCTTGGCAGCCTTGCAGGTAGGACAGAACCCGTTTCCATCTCTGCCGCAGTGGCAATCTCGCCGCGGTTCTCGCGTTGCAGAAGTGATGTGCAGATGACGAAGATTGACGGCTGCCTCGGCGACTGACTTGAGGAATTGGACGAAGTCTGGGTGGCTGCCGTCTAGCTGGTAATGAATCGACAGGTGGTGGATTCGGGCAGGCAGCAGGTTGCCGCAGCCGTTCAGTTGAAACCATGCGTTGCTATGTTTGTACATCGTGTCAATCCGTACGTAAGCGCACAAGACCAGGCGGGCTTCCTTGTACGCTCGCTTGCAGGAGAGAAGAAAGGCGGGAACATCGGAGATCTTGAATCGCTCGCGTCCAGACAGGGTTGAGATGCGGTAACGCCAGTGGCCTCCATTATACCCCATAAAACGGTAGATCCTATTGCGCAGCTCGGCGGGGAGGCGAAAGAAAGGTGACTTCGCCTGATCGAGCTCCATTGCAGTTGACATGTTTAGAAGAATTCGATATGAAAGATGTTGAGGAAGATGGAAGCGATCTTCGTTGAGTGGTATGTTGCTGCTGGCTCAGGTCAGTAAGAAATAACTTGGAGATGAAATGGTTGCTCACACAACTTTTCATATGTTTGGGGGTATGGGAAGATTGGTACCTACTAGTCTATAGCTTATAGCCTTAAGATATCAATGTTCTGGTCGTCTCGTGCCT